CCGTTGCCATTATCTGACCCTTGCCTGTCTCTAACCATGTCTATGAATAAAGCCTTGCATTTGGATCTGCACGTCTCATGTCTCGTCAGCCCCGTAACAATCATTAAGAGAGCCCAGCAGAGGCTGTTCTTCTTGAGAACTCGTAACAGGCTTCCCCAGAGACTGCTGACTACCTTCTACTGCTGTAATAGAAAGACAATAGAAAGTATTTTAACATACTGCTGTCCTGTGTGGCATTCCAGCTGCACTGCTGTGTACAAAAAAGAACTGCAGCGGATTGTGAAGACGGCTGAAAGAATTATCGGCTCCTCCTCCCAAACTTGTGTGACATCTATTCAAATCGTCTTCTCACACGGGCCACAAATATCCAGCAGGACCCCTCACACCCCGGAAATTCTTTTTTTTTTTACACTCTCCCTTCCGGTAGATTGAGGACCCCAGGAACACACACTAACAGAGCTATGGACAGGCTGCAGAAGTTATAGTCATTCTCTGTAGCCTCCGGGTCCAGTGCAATAACAGATTTGGTGCAATAATGACCTCCATAGAAATGGACAATGGACGATGGATTCTGGGCACTAATAACTTGCATGCAAGAGATTGTGTTTGTGTTTTACTTTATTTATTCTGTTTTAATGCTGCTAATTGGATTGCTCTGACATAATTTCGTTGTATAAACATATGCAATAACAATAAAGACCTATCCTCTCAGCAATGTAAAAATAAAAGTCCCGCTTCTGACACACCGAACACACAGAAAAACGTATCTGCTGATTAAAAAAAAAATATAAAAAATACAAATATTGGCTGATATATCGGGACCTTGGTGATACATCAGTCAAGCACAACTCACGACTCACCTGAAGATCCTTTTACACAGCATGAAACAGATCAAAATAATGGATGAACAAAGATGAACAAAAGAGCAAACAACCACCACAACTGAGCTATAACATATAAATAACTAAATCAGCTGATCTATCCAAGAAACAGACAATAATTAAATCTGATCAACTGAACTATAAATTACCACTATAAATGAACTAAATTATAAATTATTTCTCCTCCACGAAACTTTGGACTGAGCGTGTTTTAATTTGTGTTGCCATACAGCTAAACTCACAGGATTCTGGAGTTGGTGTCAATCTGCTGATGGCGTCTGTCTCATTCCACGCTGAAAAATCATTCATAATAATCATGATTCACTTCAAATGTGGAAGATTCAATTAAAACCGCTACAATAAAGAAACATGTCTCTGGACAAAACACACATTTCTGCTGCATCAAGACAGATGTGTGTGATGCTTTTAATGAACGTTTGCAATAATCACAAGGTAGATCATGACAGTAAGGAGTGCATTTAATGTGTTTAACATGTGTTAAACACAGCAATGAAACTTCAGTCTGACTTTCATGACTTTCATTGTGTGGACCAAAAAACCCTGAGATGTTCTTTAAAATATCTGCTTTTGTGATTCACAGACGAAATAATGTCATACAGGTTTGAATGGAGATTTTGGGTGAACTGTCTCTTTAAAGATCATAATCTGTACATTATAAATGTACAATGCTGAGAGTCTCGTATCTAAACTGCAGTGAAAGAAAGAAGCATTAGAGAAGCATTTATATCGTTTATGAATGTTTCATTGATTAACGCAGTATAAGTTCATTGTGTTTATGTAGGCCAGGGGTGCCCAAACGCGGTCCTGGAGCGCCGGTGTCCTGCAGAGGTTAGCTCCAACTCTAATCAAACACACCTGAAGCAGCTAATCAAGCTCTTGCTAGGCATACTAGAAACTTACCAGCAGGTGTATTGAGGCAAGTTGGAGGAGCGGGATTGGACACACCTGATGTAGGCTATAAATAAACATAATTTATGTGTGTTTTTAATTATATATATATATATATATATATATATAGTAGAATAATTATAATAATTATATATAGTCCGCAGTCAGGAGTATAGTCACACATTTTTAATTTAGGGTCATATTTCTGCTCATTTCTTGATCTTTAAAAAATGTGCAGTTTCAGATTATAGTCCCTTTACAGATGCTTTTTCTTCTTATTTTTCTTTTACTTTTTACTTTTTTAATTTTTTCATTCTTCATGATGCTTTTCCATTTAATCAGAACTGGTTTATCTAGATGAGCTGCAGATTCAATTTTTTTTTTTTTGTCAGTCACAAGGAACAAAGCACTGCAGGTTTAATCGTACTGCCTTCATTGCACCAGATCACTTTCAGTTTGACGACGCAGAGAGATGATCGTAACTTCAACTGAACATGGACCTGCTTATGTTCCTTTTAGTGACTGTAATTCCAGTTATATCAGACGGTATGTACATTGTTTTTCTTCCAGTTAATTCTGAAGGCAAGGCACATAGTTAATTATGTCCCGTTTAAATCTCTGCAAACTTACAGTATCAGTTACAGTTTTGGACACATTTGACTGAATTTAAGTTGCACGTGATCTTAAAAATCCTTTCTGCTGTAGAGGCTTCTGCTTAAATGCTTGAAATGAGATTGTGCCTACATATGGATTACTTTACAGAATAGTTCATCAAAATGTAATTATCTGTACTTAATAGTGAAGAAAAATAGAATCTCTCCTGCTTTACTCGTCATGTTCAACATGATTTTGCTTTATGTCTTAAGCTTTCAGTATTTTACTTAAGTGAACGTGATTTTAACTGAAGGGGAAGCCAGAGTGTGATTTCATTTGAAATTCATTCGAGTTAATTTGCCCAGCACTTCCTTTAGAGATGCTTTTCATTGTTTTATAGTGATGTTTTTCCAACTTAATCAGAACCAGTTTGTCTTGATTAGTTGCAGATTTTCTCGGTAAGGTAAAACAGGTTTCAACATATCCAGATGCACCAGAATGATCTCTTTTGAAACCTCAGTTTGACTTGCCTTTGACGAGCCAAAGTGATGATGATAATTTATCATAAGTGAACATGGACCTGTATATGTTTATATTTGTGTTTGTAATTTTAATAATATTAAATGGTTTGTACTTTCTTTTTTCCTCTTTAATCTAATGCTGGTGAAATAAGCGCACACAATTAACAAAATGAAAAGGCACACATGTATTTCTTTTTGCATCTAAAATTTTCATTAAGAATATTTCTGTGGATGAGCAAAGGAAAATCAGCGTTTAAATGCTTCCCATGATGCACCTCTTGAAGCTGAAGGTCCAGAAAGAGCAGAGCTGGAATCTAGACCAAAAAAAAACAAGCTCAAAGATGTTTAGATTTGATTAACTTTGGTTTGGTAACATTCATGTCAGCTTATTGTTATGTTGAGGTGTGTCACATTGACATTTTTATCAGGTCATGTTTCCTGGTTACCTGATTTGACCCAGCGTTTACAACCTGTTTTTTTTCTATAACAATGAAAGTGAAAGAATTTCTGTCAATGATTAATAAACACTGTTTGCTTGTGAAGTGCAAAAGCAAAAAACAGAATTTAATTTGACACAGATATAGGGACTTGTAAATTTGATCCTCCCTGAGCCACACACACAAAATATGTTTTAATATTATAAATTATATACATTGGTATTTGCATGATAGATGATAGAGAATCATCTATGCTTTTCCTATATGTCCCCTCATGTCTAAAGTTCAGCTCTGGGTCAAGTGTGTGTCTCTGCAGGTCAGGTAATGGGCCGGAAATCTTTACAATTCGTCACGAAAGCTGCCTGTTCCACATAAAGGCAGACCGTAAACTTACACGCTACTGGCCTACAGATTAAAAGCAAATCCAGCATAGACAATATCTGTGTACCTTGTAGTCCTGATCCTATAAGACCAATGCCCTTCTATCACTGTAAAAATGCCGATATTGTTATTAAACATAATAAAGTTGAAAGTATCTTTGGATCTTGGATGTCATCACCACTGTGAGTTTGTTTTGGTTTTATAGTGTATCAATAATCAAAAGAATCAAATCCAAGAGTAAAAGAAGACAAAAATACATAGATATTTCTTTAATAAAATGGTATAATTATTCAGTTTTAGACTCTGAATGAGACCAGTGAATCACATCAATAGATTACCATCAACACCTGATCATAATTTCTCCTGGCGTTTCTTGCTATTACAAAAGTGTCTTATAAATACAAAGTTGCAGCAGTCAGAGAAAAGCTAACATTCGAAAGTCAAGGGTCAAGAGCCCAACAAAAGCTAAACACTAATCCCCTTAATGGTAAGTAAAAAAATATATATATATTTTCAATAAATCATCAACATCTAATCCTCTGTTAACTCTCAATAAGAACTATAAAGTGAATGCATTCGCTCGGCACTGTCCAGTGCGTCACGCAGCTTTGCCACACAGATTTTGATAACCGGACACCTAAATAAAATGTGTGGCGGGCCAGAAGTAGACTGTGAGGTAATGAGGGTGCAGACTTTCCCTTGCAATGTACACTACCGTTCAAAAGTTTGGGATCAGTACGATTTTTCATATTTTTTGTTAGTGGACCTTGGTGAAATGGGGTGGACATCAGTGCTTACTCTCAAACTAAAGTACATCATTTTATAATAGTCTACATGAGATAAAATAGGGATACAAATTTTGACAGCTAAAAATGTAATTATCGGTTTTGACTACAAAACAAGCTGTATTTCACTTTTCTCTTTCCCTTTCTATGGGGAAAACATTGTTTTCAGGGTTGACTGTGCACGGTCCCCCTGGTTCTCTGGTTGCTCCTCTGGGATCTTCAGTGGTTTTGCCCTGTTATGTTGATGAACTTTTATCAGTGGAGGGTCTGGAGGTGGAGTGGAGAAGACCAGACTCTGAGACTTTAGTTCATCTGCATTCAGCAAGAGTCTGGTGAGACCGTGGTTCAAATAAACATTGATGTTGGTGAGTTTTGACTGCATGAGTTCCTTCCTTCATTTTCACTATGATTTTACAGAAACTAATATGTTTTATGGTGCGATATAACTGTTTTGTCTTTCAGAGCGTTTGCTAGTATCAGGATCGAGTCGCTCTATATCTGCGTCTGTGGGTGAAGACGTCACTCTGAACTGCTCTATAGACTCTCACATCACACTTGCAGATATTGAAGAGGTTTCATGGAAGAAAACAGATGAAGATATTCAGGTTCTGCTCTACCAAAACAATGAGGCACATTCATCAAATGAGCGATACATAGACAGAGTTGAGCTCTTCACTGCTGAAATCCCCAAAGGAAACTTCTCTCTCAGACTGAAGAGCATCAGAACTGAGGATAAAGGAGTTTACATGTGTGAGGTGTTTGCTGGAGGACTTTCAGCCAATGCAACTGTAGAACTGGAGCGACTGGGTGAGTAACAGATAAATGATGCACGTGTCATACTTTGTGAAACAGAACTTTTTATGGCTGCAGGGTCATGCCTTGTCAAATCAACTAAATTTGGTTTAGAAAGATGGCAGCATCATTATTTTATTTTTACACAGAGATTGGTAGGTCTGTTGCCTTTAGTAAAATATGTTGCCTTTAGCAATTTTTGCTGAAGGAAAATGAAGAAAAGTAATTTTCAGTATTTTTCTTTTTTGGCCAAAGTTTGCATGCCCGTAACTCAAGAAGTATTAAATATATCCTAATATCCTCTTAGATTTTGGTTCTTAAACTCTTCTTTTGGTATCTTTATTTTGAAATGGTGTGGAAGAGAGTGCTGTTCTCTCACTCCCCCACCTTCATTTGCTGCTGGTACTGAGAATCGAACCTATGGCCTTCGGGTTATAAGTCTGACTCTGTAATCATTAGGCCACAACTATTCCTTTGAAGAGCAAATAATGTTGAAACGAGAAATGTAGCTTGTTCCCCTAAATCAAAATAATTGCAAATGGACATACCTGTCTCAGAGGCAAAAATACACAGAATGGTCAAGTTGAGGAATATTAACTTAATCTCACAGGTCTATTCATAAGATTTTATGTTTGAATCAATTTTAGGGAAATTTGGAAGAAGGGATTTTTGTTCATTTTAAGTGCTTCTGAAGCTACCAAGAGATTAAAATAGGAGTATTGTATCTACTTGTTTGAAGCAAGTTTCATGCGTCCTAGGGAAGTGTGGTTGCGCTCCCCACACATTGTATTCACATCAATAAACCAAGATTTGCCTCACCTGGATTCTATTAGAATCTCCGCTTGTTATAAAATGTGAAGCATAGTGATAGATCAAGTAGTGTCCATTGCTAAGGGGCATATTTACCAGAATCACTGATAGTACCTCAAACTTTGGAACATTCAAGGGCTTTCACACTTGAAATAGTTAACCCTTGGTCATTTTAAACCACAAGTGTCAAACTCAGCTCCTGGAGATCCACTGTCCTGCAGAGTTTAGCTCCAACCAACTCCAACACACCTGACTGGAAGTTTCCAGCACTTTTCAAGACTTGGGATCAGGTGTTTTTAGGAGTGTTTAATTAGGGTTGGAGCTAAACTATGCAGGACAGTGGCTCTACTTTCTGCGTCCGCGAGTCCGCTAGGGTCCGCTATGGTATGCGTGACGTAAAAATCGTCATCTGAGAGTGTGTGCGGACATCCGCATGCCTCCCATTTTTTGTGACCGCGTGGACAAGTACGCGCAGTCAGTAAGCTACTGCGCATGCGCAGGCTGTGTGAAGAAGCCCGTTGCTACTTGAACCTGTACAATCCGTTGATAAAACAATATAAAGACAGCCAGATGTGCAATAACTCTGGGCAATTCTTTGTT